AATCATCTCAATTAATTCTCATTTTGTAGATGACGAAAGTCTAAACTTTCCACTGAATCATATAGTCAGAAAAATACTAGGCATTTGATAAATCGTTTATCCCACTACAACTCAATAGCTAAAAGGCATTTTTATGACAATTGGAGGGAATGAATTGTGGACAGAGTATTAGATAATCACCGGGCAGTCTTCTTAGGTGCTGTTTAGCATTGTGGTTAAGTAAAGAATATGACTGTAATTAGAGATGCGCTTGGGCAAATGTGGAATTGAAATGCCATGGTTACTGGATTTCCTTAAAAAACTTCACCAGAAATAAAAGAAATAAAGAAATGTGACCGAATCTTTTTTTTTTTTTTTTAATTAAGAGAGATTTTTTGCTATAGGGTGTGTGTGCTCACTGGAGAGAGAGAGAGAGGGGATCCCCAGAGGGGATGGCCACGCTGCAGTCCCTTCTCCTCTCGGGATTATGAGCATGCAAGCACACACACCTGGCATGAGTTTCAAGCCTGCAGGTCTGGGACTTGAACCATGGTCAGGCATTTGGGAGCCCACCATCTTAACCACTATGCCATCTGCTGGCCCCGTGACCGAATCTTGATAACTATGGAGATCCTCCTACCTCAGCCTCCCGAGTAGCTGGGACCACAGGTGTGCGCCATTGCACCCAGCTTTTAGGGTAGGCTGAGAACTGAACCCAGGCCTCCCACGTGCCTCGGCCTGCCAAGCAGCAGCACCCAGCATGTGCCGCCATCGCAGCTGAGCCAGTGAGATAGTTTGAACCTGGAGGTGGGGTGGATGAAGGGGTCCTTGTACTGCTCTCATAGACTTCTGCATCTCTTTGAGAGTTTTATAAACACACACATGTGCGTGCACACAGGCACAAAATCATTTCCATTATTAGCACAACTTTACTCCTGCTCCCGAGAGCAGAAGGGGAGGAGACGGGTGTGGCCCTTGGTCCTCACAGCTAGCAGAGGGTGCAGACTTCTGGGTGCTCCTGACAGGGAGGGAGGACGTGGGGTGAGAGATGCCCAGCTCCTGCCTCAGTCTCTCTCCTCTATCCAGGGACCCCCACTGCCGTGAAGCTGCCACTCCTTCAGGTTATCCCAACAAGGGGTGCCCAGGTCCCTTGGAGGCGGTGACGGGGGTCAGCAGGGAAGCCTCAGAGAGGAGGACATGCCTGTGAGATTCCTCTGCCCACTGCCAGGTGCAGGGCTAGCAGCAGGAGGAAGGGAGCACTGGGGCACTCTGCCACCCCTGTCCATGGGACACAAGTCAGGCCAGGCTTCAGCGAGCTCGGACTGTCCCAGATGCCCAAGGAGAGCAGACGGAATGTGCTGGAGGCCCCGACCAAACTACCCCGGGAGCCTGTTCAAACACAGGTGGCTGAGCCCCACCCCAAGGTTCTGACGCGGCGGTCTGGGACTGGCTCTGAGGACTGCGTCTCTAAGTGCCTGGATGATACTTAGGCAGCTGGTCCATGGGCCACGCTCTGAGAGCCACTGTTCTAGCTCCGAGTCTCACCCTTCTGGTACATCTGAACTAAATAGTTCCCAAAGTGTGCTCCCGGCCAGAGCACCAGCAGCACCTGAGAAATGCAAATTCTCAGGCCCCACTGCAGACTGCTGAATCAGAAACCGCCGGGGTGGGGCTCAGCCAGCCCTGTTGGAACAAGCCCCCGGGGGCTGCTGATGCAGCTGCAGTGTGAGAACTAGGCTCCAGATGAGCTAATGAGTCGGAACCCAGATGCCAGGTCGCAGAGAGGCAGCGAGCGTTCCAGAGCAGGGCGGGCAGGAATTCCGACGGAAGCCGTGTGGCAGACCTGGGGACATGAGCAGCGGAACAAGGATGATTCTGAGCGGATGAGCCCTAGAAGGGGCGTCAGAGGGCAGCCTGCAGAAGAGATGGCTCTAGGCAGCCGGAGGGGGCCTGGGCCTGGCACTGCCCGTAGCCTTGTGTTCAGTGGGCAGACCAGACTCATGACAAAGTCGCTCACCCCAGTGAGATCAAACCCCGGGCTCTGCTCAAGCATGTCTAATTTGCAGACAAAACGGTGGCCCTGCCACGCCGACCCCCAGTGAAGCATGGTCGCATGGTCATGCTGCAATCCCTCCTCCATTGCTTCACTCTGTTGGGATTGGGCATGTGTGCACATGTGCCTGGCATGTCTATTTTTAAAAATAATTATTTATTTAACTATTTATTTTGACCAGAGAGAGACAGAGTGAGTGAGAGAGAGAGAGATGGAAAGTGAGAAAGCAAGCTGCCAGGTTCAGGACTCAAACTGCAGTCAGCCACGTGGGAGCCTCGCCCTCTTAACCACGCCAACTGCCGGCCCCAATCTGGCGTGTCTTTTAAGCCACCGAAGTCAGGACGCAAACTGTGGTCAGCCATGTGGGATCCACTCCTTTAACCACTAGGGGCTGGCTGGTATAGATACGATTTCTTTTCCCACTGGCTCACATGTCCTGGTGTGGGAATTTGGGTCAGCCCAGCCCTTCTCCTATAGGGAAAGTGGCTGGGGGAGCCTGTGTTCTCAGGATCTGTGGTTAGGAGACTGCCACAGTGAAGAAGCATGTTACATGACTCTGTCACACTCTCAGATGAGCACACGTGTGGCCCCTTCTCCTGGCTGCTTCCTGGCCTCCTGTCACTGGCACCTCACTGGTCTCTAGGTGGTTCCCAAGGGGATGAATGGGCAGGGTTGCCCAGCCTTCCTCGGGCATGATGGCTGACTAGGCCCCCAGGGGCACCAGGAGCTCAGCTGCCATCCTGCACTGGCCTCTCATCACCCTGGTGCCCGCTGTCCCAGCTGGTGCCCTGTCAGATGGTGAGCTAGCTCCTTACCCCGAGGCCCTGTGCTGTCACCCTTCCTCATTCCTACCCAGCCCGACAGCTGAGACTTTCCATGGGGTGACAGCAAAGGACTGGAAGACACCCTGTTGCCATGGCAAGGGCCAGCCCCGGCCAAGCACAAGGCAGAGGAACAGCCATTTGTGATGGAGACTTCACGTCCACCACTGACTTTCCGAGAGGAAAGAGCGCCAGGCTCCCACATGGCCGACCGAGGTTTGGGTCCCAGACCTGGCGGCCTACTCTCTCCCTTTCCCTCTTCTCTCTCTCTCACTCTGTCCCTCTCTGGTCAAATTAAATAAATAAATAATTTTTAAAAAATTAAATAAAAGAAATCTTTAAAAATTTGGAAAATTTCTGGGACTAGCAGTTGGCATAATGGCTATGTCACTGGACTCCCATGTAAGTCAACCACGGTTCGCGTCCCGGACCCGGTGGCTTAAAACTTACGCCAGGCGCGTGTGCATGCGTGCCCAAGATTCCAAGAGGAGAATGGAGGAGAAGGGATTGCGGTGTGGTCACCCCCCCTGGGGAGTGATTTCTCGCTTTCTATCTGTCTCTCTCTGGCGAGCACACGTACCCTATAGCAAAAACCTCTCCAAAAAAAAAAAGAAAAGAAAAAGTTTGGAAAATTTCTAAGAGGAAATCAATTACCAAAGGGCAATGGATAAGCGATTGGCAGGGCCAGAGAGAAAACACTCAGGCCTGGGGCCGGCAGGTAGCGTGGTGGTTGGGGGCGCTGGACTCCCACATGGCCAACCACAGTTTGAACCCCGAACCTGGCGGCTGGCTTTCTTGCTCTCTTTCTCTCTCTCTCTCCCTCTCTCTCTCTCACTCTGTCCCTCTCTGGTCAAATTAAAACAAACAAATAAAGTTAAATAAAATGATTCTTTAAAAAAAAGGAAGAAAACACCTCAGACCTTCCAAATACCACGTTCCTTCCTGCCTCAGGACCAGCACTGGCGTCTCCACACGCTCCTGGAGCGCCACCCCAGCCAGCCCACTGTTACTCGGTCTCAGCTATCTCCTCGGGGAAGTCACCTGACCTGGCCTCACCAGTTACTCCCTCACAGCACTGTGTCCACCAGACATTACGCACATGCGCTTACGACCTCTGTTCTCCCCCTAAGACGTAAGCTTGCAGGCCGAAACCTTCTCTGTTTTTCTAGAGATTTTTGCCTGAGGGCACCTGCATTCCTCAGAGAGAGACAGTGAGAAAACACCCCCCAGGGGACATGGCCAGGCCGCAATCCTTTCTCCTTCATTCTCCTCGGGATTTGGGCATACACACACGTGCCTGGTGTGATTTTCAAGCCACCAGGTACAGGACCTGAACCGTGGTCGACCATGTGGGAGTCCAACGACGTAACTGCCATGCCATCTGTTGGCCTCCCTCTCTCTCTTTATAAATTTGTTATAGGGCACGTGCACTCACCAGAGAGAGAGAGAGAGAAAGAGAAAGTGAGAAGGCACTCTCGGGGCGGGGGGGTTGACCACAGTACAGTCCCTTCTCCAGGCTCCTCTCAGGATCCTGGGCATGTGCACACACACACACAAGCGTGCTCGTTTTTCAAAGCACTGGGTCTGAGACTTGAACTACATGGTGGGCCACGTGGGATCTAGCTGCCTTAAGCACCATGCCACCTGCAGGCCCTCTCTCTTCACGTCCCAGAATAACAACAGTGGGTGGGGCCAGCAGGTGGCATGGTGGTTAAGATGCTGGATTCCCACATGGCCAAACGCAGTTCGAGTCTTGGACCTGGCGGCTTGCTTTCTCACTTTCTCTAACTCTGCCTCTCTTAAATTAAAATAAATAAATAAAGTAATCCTTTTAAACAAAACAACAACAGTAGGTAACCCTTTTGTGCTTTCAGACATCAGGCTAACCTTCGTATTAATTCATTTAATCCCTACAACCAACCTTTGAGTAAGGTGCTTCCTTTAGCCCCACTTTACGGATTAGGAACCTGAGGCTCTGAGATGAGGCGGCCTGCCAACATCGTGGAGCCTAGAAATGGAGGAACTAGGACTCACACCCAGGCTGCTAGGTCCCAGGCACGACAGGCACTTGATGAACGAGCGAGTGACTAAGAGCCTCCCTCCCGACTCAGTGCTGCGTCTGCCCTGGTCTCCCCAGTCACTCTTACCTCCGTTGGAGAGCTGAGGTGGCACAGCTGGCACTGCCGCTACAGGCCTGCCAGGGGGTGTCCAGGGGCTGGGCCTCCCCGTCGGGCCAACCCCGGGTGCCTTCATGGGGGTGGAGGACTCCCAGGGGCGGCCCCGCCGGGCTTCACAAGCCGCCGGCCTCACTTCCTCAGCCACAGCCACATCGCGGCGCGGGGGTGCCAGGGTGATAAAGACGGACGAGGCGACCCTCTTCTCAGGCTTTGAGGCCATTGCTTCGGCTCCTGGGGGCTGGGGACAGAGTGGGGCTGAGGTTCCAGCTCTGGCAGGGGGTAGGGCAAGGGTGCAGTCCACCTGGACACACAGATGTCCCCTGGCATGAAGCCTCCCTCCCCCAACACAGGGACAGCTACCCCACCATGCCAGTGACCAACCTAGCCAGTGACCTAACCCCAGGGACAGGACCCCAAAGTCCTGACTGCCCCTCCTGGCCCCTGGCACACCCAGGGGAACAAAGGGCAGCTCTGCCCAGCTCACTCCAGGAATGGCGGCTTTGCCTTGTCTCTCAAGTGCAAGGAACAGCTCTTCTGGCTCCGGCCCCACCCAGGTGACTGCCTGGCCCGCCGAGGACCACGCCTGCCACTGGGCCGCACCCCGTTACCTCCCTCACCTAGGATCTGGATTCTCCTGGGAGCGCCGACGTGAAGTCCAAGGTTCAGACCAGCTCTGCTGAGGGAGGAAAAGAGAACAGGGCTGTCAGAGTGGCAGGGCGAGGGGCAGTCATTGAAGGCCTTTTCCCAAGCCCTGCCCTGTGCCTGCACAGCCAGAGCACGCCATGCTCACTCGCTCAGAAGTCCCCACATGCTGCGGGTGGGCGCTGTCGTCACTCAGCCCACCCAAGCCAGCATTCTTTCCTAGGCCTTCTACCGCACTCTGGCCAGCTCCGAAACCCGCGCGGGGCGGATCCAGGGTGGAACTGGCAGAGGGGCTCGACAGGCTCTGACCTCACCTCCTAACCCCGATCCTCCTGCGGCATAAATCTGATAGTTGCTTCCTCTTTTTAAAATTGTGCTACATGCGCTAACCAGGACGAGAAGCACCTCCAGTCCTGCATGCTGCAACCCCTTCTCTATTTCTCCATCCCGTCGGGACTCCGGACATGCACATACACGAGGCCCACGTGTTTCTCAAGCCCCCGGGGCAAGGATTTGAACTGCATGGTCAGTCACATGGGATCTGGCTGCCTTAACCATCAGGCCATGGAGTTGGCCCAACTGCTTCTACTCTACCCAAAAGCCTTCCATGGCTCCCTGGTACCTCAGGATAAAGTCCAAATTATAGCTCACATGGTTTTTGTTGTGTTTTTTTTTTTTTTTTTTTTGGCTTTAAGGAGAAAGTACCTGCCAGAGAAAGGACAAAATCACCCAGAGGGGGCGGGCGTGTGTGTGTATGTGGCACACCGCAGACCCTTCTCTAAGGATCTGGGGCATGCACACGCACGTGCCTGGTGTACATGATTTTTATTTTTTTTTGAGTGGTTTTTGCTATAGGGCACGTGCACTCGCCAGACAGACAGAGATAGAGAGACAGAAAGCAATAAATCACCCCCCGGGGGGATGGTCACGCCGCAATCCCTTCTCCTCCGTTCTCTTCTCGGGATCTTGGGCACGCACGCACACGTGCCCGGCGTGAGTTTTAAGCCACCGGGTCCAGGACTTGAACCGCGGTCGACTACATGGGAGTCCAGCGACATAGCCATTACGCTAACTGCTGGTCCCATGTGCATGATTTTTAAGCTGCCAGGTTGAAGACTGGAATCGCAGTCAGCCATGTGGGACCCAGCGCCTTAACCACCGAGCCACCGGCTGGCCTGCATCAACCTTTTTTTGTCCACCTTGAGTCACTCACTTTTACTCAACTAAGTCTTTCTCCCCGAGCAGCCTTGGAGGGTTTCCACCATCTGTCTTTCCCCTCTTGTTCCCACAGGGCAAATTTAAGTTTTCCTTTAAGAGTCCCAGCTTGGGACCAGCAGATGGCATAATGGTTATGTCGCTGGACTCCCAAGTAGTCAACTGAGATTTGAGTACCAGACCTGGTAGCTTGAACTCACACTGGGAGTGTGTGCATGAGTGCCCAAAATCTTGAGAGAAGGGATGGTTGGTGTGGCCATCCCCCCCTGGGGGGAATAGTGATTCCTTGCTTTTTGTCTCTCTGGCAAGTGCGTGCATCCTATAGCAAAAATTTCACTCAAAAAAAGAAAAAACACGGACCAGCAGTTAGTGTCATGGCTATGTTGCTGGACTCCCATGTAGTCGATCGCAGTTTGAGTGCCAGACCTGGTGACTTAAACTCACGCTGGGCATGTGTGCATGCGTGTCCAAGATCCCCAGAGGAGAATGGAGGAGAGGGGATTGCGAGTGGCCATCCCCCTGGGGGGTGATTTCTCGCTTTCTGTCTCTCTTTCTGGCAAACACATACGCCCTGTAGCAAAAACTCTAGGGGGTGGGGAGAGAAAAGAATAAACAAACAAAAAGGAGCCCCAGCTCAAACATGCCCTCTCTGTGAAGCCCCTCTGATTCCTACCCCCCAGGCCAGTTGTTCCCAAGGGGTGAAGACAGGACCGCATGGACCACCTGGCTCATGTGCCTGGTGCCCTTGGCCCTGTCTGTGCTCCCCGTAAGCCCGGAGGGACCTCACCATGTAGGTACCAAAGTACAGACCCAGGAGCAAGGGGGCAGCCCTCTCCAAAAAAAAGCCACTTCCATCTTTGGGGGTAGCCTTCAGGGCAGGGGTGGAGATGGGACTGCAGGTAGGGTGACACAGGCACACCCAGCTCAGGAGCCCCCACTGGGCACCCCGCACGTGTGTCCAGGGCTAAAAATATACATTGCTTCTATCTCGCTCTTTCTGTCTGGGCCACCTTGACATGACCCTGAAGCCTGGCCCAGACAACGGGGACGAGGGTGTATAAGAGCCAGAGAAGGGGGCTGGGTGGGTGGAGGGCCCTGAGGGACCCTCACGGTGGACCTGGAGCTCAAATGGCCTCTTGGGGTCCTCCTTCCCCATGTCAAAGTGCACTGGCCCCCATGGGCTCTTGGTGACTGTCAGAGAATAACAGTGACAACACAACACATACTCCCAAATTTCTCTTAGGTTGGTCTATGTGTTTGGCTAAAATACACAGCTCTTGGGGGCCAGAGGTGGCATGGTGGTTAAAGTGCTGGATGTTTTTTTTTTTTTTTTTTTAAGAGATTTTTGCTATAGGGTGCATGTGCTCGCTGGAGAGACAGAGACATAGACAGAGAACAAGCAATCATCCCCCCCAGGGGGATGGTCACTCCTCAATCCCTTCTCCACTCTCCTCCTGGGATTCTGGGCACGCACGCACGCACGCACGCACGCCCAGCATGAGTTTTAAGCTGCCAGATCCGGAACTCGAACCATGGTCAACTATGTGGGCGTTTAGTAATGCACCCTTACGCCATCCACTGGTCCCAAGGCCCTGGATTTTTACATGGTCAACCAAAGTTTAAGTCCCAGTTTTGAAGCTTGAAAATCACCCAGTTGTGTGTATGTGTGTACCCAAAAAATCCCAAGAGAACAGAGAGGGATTGAGGCATGGCCATTCCCCCGGCGGGATGGAGTGATTTCCCACCTTCCCTCTCTCTGTCTCTCTGGCGAGTGTAAGTGCCCTATAACAAAAATCTCTCTTAAACACACACACACACACACACACTATACAAGGGGTCTTCGAAAAGTTTATGGAAAAATACTATGCATGGATATACATTTTTTTTGCACCCAAGTAAATTTATAATTTAATTCCATTTTCCAGAACCTTTTTTAAAAAGAATTATTTTATTTAATTTTACTCATTGTCGTTACTTTATTTTATTTTATTTTTGAGAGGTTTTTGCTATGGGGCGCGTGCGCTCTCCAGACAGCCAGAGACAGAGAGACAGAACGTGAGAAATCACCCCCCAGGGGGGATGGTCACGCTGCAATCCCTTCTCCTCCATTCTCCTCTCAGGATCTTGGGCACGCACGCACACACGCACACGCGCCCGGCATGCGTTTTAAGCCACCGGGTCCAGGACACGAACTGTGGTTGACTATGTGGGAGTCCAGCGACAGCCATTACACTAACTGCTGGTCTCAATTTTATTTTTTTTTAAAGTTGACCAGAGAGAGACAGAGAGAGGGAAAGTGAGAAAGCAAGCTTCCAGGTCTGGGACCCAAGCGATGGTTAACCATACGGGGGTCCAACTGCCTCAACCACTACGCCACCTGCCAGCCCCTCCAGAAACTTTCTGAAGTCCCTCATATTAGGAAAGAGCTTTAAAAGCTTATTTAGAGGGGCCAAAAGATGATGTAGCAGTTATGTCGCTGGTCTCCCACATGGCTTACCGCAGTTCGAGTCCCAGATCTGGTGGTTTAAAATTCACACCCGGTACATGTGTGTGTGTGTGCCCCAAACCCCAAGAGAATGGAGACAGGACTGCAGCGTGGCCATCCCCCTGGGGGAGTGACTTCTCACTCTTTCTCTCTGTCTCTGTCTTTCCAGCAAGGGCACACACCCTAAGGCAAAAACCTCTAAAAATGTTTACCCAGAAGTGCTCCTCTGTTGTTTACTGTTTTGAAAATGATTTTGGAAGTATATGTGCTTAAGCTGGCTGTGTAGTCTTTTTTTTAAGAGATTTTTGCCTTAGGGTGTGTGTGTGCTCACTGCAGTGGTGTGGGGAGAGACAGTGAGAGGGAAAGTGAGAAATTATCCCCTCCGGGGATGGCTGGGCCACAATCCTTTCTCCTACACTCTCCACTTGGGATCTTGGGCACGCACGCGCACGCGCCCAGTGTGATTTAGAAGTCACTGGGTCCAGGATTCAAACCATGGTCGACCATGTGGGAGTCTAGGGACGCAACCCCTATGCCACCTGCTGGCCCCCCCAGTCTTTAGTTTTACTTTCGGCGAGTTCAAGTAGAAATGACAAACGACAGCAAGGGCACTCACTGACAAAGCACCTACTGCGTGCCTGCCACTGTGTCGAGGCTCTCTGTGCCTCAAAACTCACTTTATTGTCAACCCAGCTGCGAGGAAGGCCCGTTACATCCCCACTTCACAGATGGGCCACCTGTGGCCCGAAGAGACTAAGGGATGTCCCAGGCCATCCATGGCAGACTGGGAATTCTAACAGAGCATCGATCGGTCCACCTGGGAGTCCCGGGGTACCCTGGGACCTCTGAAGGCTTATTTTTCTTCCCTGAGTGGCTCAAGGCCCCCACAAATTCCCAGGCCTGTTCTCACCCTGGAATGGCCCAATCTGGACTGGGGATCTGGTCAGCACATTCTGGGCTGGTCTCCAGAGACCGCCTCAGACCTTCAGGACACCCGGTCACCTCCTTCCCGCCCTGCTCTGACCCTCACTCCACTCGTTCGGGAAGTCGGACTTCTCGGAAAACTTCCAGCCCTGAGGCCAGATGTTCACAGCTGGGCAGCACCCCGTCTCTCCCAAGCAATTACTGCAGGGACTTGGGGCCCCAGGGAGAGGGGCCAGGCTGGGGATTTCCAAAGCTCAGTCCAGTCCTGCGGGGAAAGGGAGCCTGGGCTTCCCTGGGCCCCACTGCCCCCAGTCACCCTGGGGCACGTACATGAGCTCCCTATGGGGCACCCTCCGCCCTCTCTTCCTCTCCCAGAGGGAGGATCCAGTTGGGTAAGCAGAGAAAGTGGGGACAAAGGGAAGGAGAGTCATTTCCTGTCAGGAGGAAGGAAGGAGGCTGAGATCCAGCCAGCCGGCGGGCCACCGGCTGGCTTCAGGCTGGAGCTCAGGGGCAGGGGGTGGGTTGGGTGATGGGGAGGACCCCCCCACAGTCCCCCTCCCCTGGCACCCTACAGCAATAACTTCACACTTGGAACCACCTCAACTTGTTCTTAATACCTGGATAAAGCAGTGTGTTTGGGTTGGGGATTACGCTTTGCTGGGGGCTGGAGGGACTGTACCCCAAGTCCCTTGCAAGGGAACCTTGAAGCCTTGGAGAAGGGTTCTTTCAAACTCTCTCCTACCCTGGGGAAAAGGAGGAGGCACAGAGCTGGGTTCGCGCTGGACTCCACCTCTTTCCTGCTGGGTGACTCTGAGTAGGTGCCTGAACCTCTCTGCGCCTCATTTTTTTCATGAAGTGAGCCGAAAGTCTATCCTGGGAGGGCAGAGGCTAGGAGCAGAGGGTGCTCAGGAGCCGGCCCGGGCAGGCGTAAAGAGGACAGCGGGGCATTCAGCCACTGAGGGGAAGGAAGGAGCCCTGGGTCTGGGCTTCACTGGGGCGCCTGGGGCAGCAGGACTTAGCCCCCACCGTTAATAGGAGCAGGATCTGGGCACTCCCCAGCCTCTTCCCGGGGTCTCTAGGTCTGAGCTGGGGGACACTGACGCCAAGGTCGCCCCATGGCGCTGCGGGAGGGGCCGGGATCGCACGTTGGAGGTCGGCCAGTCCCACACCTTCCCAGCCCCCAACGGGGACTTCGGGCCCGCGTCCGCTCCCCTCCCTGACCCTGGTGAGGCAGGGGCCCTGAGCTCCCCGAGCTCCGGAAACGCGGCGCGCTCCCGCAGGCGGCCGAGCGGGGCGGCTGGCCGGGTCACCGTGGGGCGCCGCCGGGGACTTTAATTCGATCCATGTGCGGGACGCGGTCCTCTTTGTGCGGGAGCTTCCGCCCTGCGCGCCCGGTCCTTGGCGCCGGCTCCGGGGCAGGGATTCGACCCCGCGCCGTCCCCACCCCGCCCTCCCCTCCTCTGCGGGGCAGAGACCGAAGGACCGAGCCCGAACGACGGAAGGACAGCACCGCGCCCCGCCCCGCGCGCCCCGCAGGCCCCTCC